GATTGGAAGTGGTGGGTCAGTGATTGGGAGTGGTGGGTCAGTGATGGGGAGAGGTGGGTCAGTGATGAGGAGTGGTGGGTCAGTGATGGAGAGCGGTGGGTCAGTGATAGGGAGCGGTGGGTCAGTGATGGAGAGTGGTGAGCCAGTCATGGGGAGTGGTGGGTTAGTGAATGGGCATGGTGGGTCAGTGATGGGGAGTGGTGGGCCAGTCATGGGGAGTGGTGGGCCAGTGATGGAGAGTGGTGGGCCAGTCATGGGGAGTGGTGGGTTAGTGAATGGGCATGGTGGGTCAGTGATGGGGAGTGGTGGGCCAGTCATGGGGAGTGGTGGGTCAGTGATGAGGAGTGGTGGGTCAGTGATGGAGAGTGGTGGGCCAGTGAAAGGGAGTGGTGGGTCAGTGATTGGGGATGGTGGGTCAATGATAGGAAGTGGTGGGTCAGTGATGGGGAGTGGTGGGTCAGTGATGGGGGTGGTGGGTCAGTGATGGGAAGAAGTGGGTCAGTGATTGGGAGTGGTCGGTCAGAGATGAGGAGTGGTGGGTCAGTAATGGGGAGTGGTGGGTCAGTGATAGGGAGTGGTGGGTCAGTGATAGGGAGTGGTGAGTCAGTCATGGGGAGTGGTTGGTCAGTCATGGGGAGTGGTGGGTCAGTGATGAGGAGTGGTTGGTCAGTCATGGAGAGTGGTGGGTTAGTAATGGGGAGCGGCGAGTCAGTCATGGGGAGTGGTGGGTCAGTGATGAGGAGTGGTGGGTCAGTGATGGGCCAGTGATAGGGAGTGGTGGGCCAGTGATAGGGAGTGGTGGGTCAGTGATGGGGAGTGGTGAGTCAGTCATGTGGAGTGGTGGGTCAGTGATTGGAAGACGTGGGTCAGTGATTGGGAGTGGTGGGTCAGTGATGGACTGAGAATACTTCCAACCAAATGTCAGTGATGGGTAGTGATGGGGAGTTGTGGGTCAGTGGAGGGTCAGGGATGGGGAGTGGTGGGTCAGTAATGGGGAGTAGTGGGTCAGTGATGGGGAGTTGTGGGTCAGTGATTGGGAGTAGTGGGTCAGTGATGGGGAGTAGTGGGTCAGTGATGGGGAGTGGTGGGTCAGTGATGGGGAGTGGTGGGCCATTGATGGGGAGTGGTGGGTCAGTGATGGGGAGTGGTGGGTCAGTGATGGGGAGTGGTGGGTCAGTGATGGGGAGTGGTGGGTCAGTGATGGGGAGTGGTGGGTCATTGATGGGGAGTGGTGGGTCAGTGATGGGGAGTGATGGGTCTTTGATGGGGAGTGGTGGGTCAGTGATGGGGAGTGGTGGGCCATTGATGGGGAGTGGTGGGTCAGTGATGGGGAGTGATGGGTCATTGATGGGGAGTGGTGGGTCAGTGATGGGGAGTGGTGGGTCAGTGATGGGGAGTGGTGGGTCAGTGATGGGGAGTGGTGGGTCAGTGATGGGGAGTGGTGGGTCATTGATGGGGAGCGGTGGGTCAGTGATGGGGAGTGGTTGGTCAGTGATGGGGAGTGGTGGGTCAGTGATGGGGAGTGGTGGGTCAGTGATGGGGAGTGGTGGGTCAGTGATGGGGAGTGGTGGGTCAGTGATGGGGAGTGGTTGGTCAGTCATGGGGAGTAGTGGGTCAGTGATGGGGAGTGGTGGGCCATTGATGGGGAGTGGTGGGTCAGTGATGGGGAGTGGTGGGTCAGTGATGGTGAGTAGTGGGTCAGTGATGAGGAGTGGTGGTCAGTGATGGCGAGTAGTGGGTCAGTGATGGTGAGTAGTGGGTCAGTGATGGGGAGTGGTTGGTCAGTGATGGTGAGTAGTGGGTCATTGATGGGGAGTGGTGGGCCAGTGATGGGGAGTGGTGGGCCAATGATGGGGAGTGGTTGGTCAGTGATGGGGAGTCGTGGGTCAATGATGGAGAGTGGTGGGCCAGTGATGGGGAGTGGTTATCAGAGGTTCATTCAGACCACATAGATCATTCGGACCACTTGGATCATTCAGACCACAGAGGATCTTTCAGACCACAGAGGATCATGCACACCACAGTGGATCATTCAGGCCAAAGAGGATCATTCACACTACAGAGGATCATTCGTACTACAGAGGATCATTCACACCACAGAGGATCATTCACACCACATATGATAATTCACACCACAGAGGATCATTCACACTACAGAGGATGATTCACACCATATAGGATTATTCAGCCCACAGAGGATCATTCACACTAAAGAGGATCATTCAAACAACATTTGAATAATTCACACTACAGAGGACTCTTCACACTATAAAGGGATAATTCACACCAGAAGATCTTCCACACCACATATGATAATTCACACCACAGAGGATCATTCTAACCACAGAGGATCATTCACACTACAGAGTATCATTCGCACCTCAGAGAATCATTCGCACCACAAATGATCATTCACACCACAGAGGATCATTCACACTACAGAGGATCATTCATATTACAGAGGATCATTCAGACCACAGTGGGTCATTCAGACCACAGGGGATCATTCACACCACAGAGAATCATTCAGACCACAGAGGATCATTCATACTACAGAGGATCATCCACACTACAGAGGATCATTCAGACCACAGAGGATCATTCACACACCAGAGGATCATACATGACAGAGGATCATTCAGACCACAGAGGATCATTCACACTACAGAGGATCATACAGACCACAGAGGATCATTCACACTACAGAGGATCATTCACACTACAGAGGATCATTCGCACGACAGAGGATCATTCACACGACAGAGGATCATTCACACCACAGAGGATCATTCACACCACAGAGGATCATTCACGCTACAGAGATTCATTCACACCACAGAGGATCATTCAGACCACAGAGGATCATTCACACTATAGAGGATCATTCTTACTACAGAGGATCATTCACGTTACAGAGATTCATTCACATCACAGAGATCCATTCAGACCACAGGGATCATTCATACTACAGAGGATCATTCACACTACAGAGGATCATTCAGACCACAGTGGATCATTCACACTAGAGAGGATCATTCAGACCACAGAGGATCATTCACACTACAGAGGATCATTCAGACCACAGAGGATCATTCACACTACAGAGGATCATTCACACGACAGAGGATCATTCATACTACAGAGGATCATTCAGGCTACAGAGATTCATTCACACCGCAGAGATCCATTCAGACCACAGAGGATCATTCATACTACAGAGGATCATTCACACTACAGAGGATCATTCAGACCACAGAGGATCATTCACACTACAGAGGATCATTCACACAACAGAGGATCATTCAGACCACAGAGGATCATTGACACTACAGAGGATCATTCAGACCACAGAGGATCATTCACACTACAGAGGATCATTCAGACCACAGAGGATCATTCACACTACAGAGGATCATTCACACAACAGAGGATCATTCAGACCACAGAGGATCATTCACACGACAGAGGATCATTCAGACCACAGAGGATCATTCACACTACAGAGGATCATTCACACGACAGAGGATCATTCGCACGACAGAGGATCATTCACACAACAGAGAATCATTAGCACGACAGAGGATCATTCACACTACAGAGGATCATTCATGCTACAGAGATTCATTCAGACCACAGAGGATCATTCACACTACAGAGGATCATTCAGACCACAGAGGATCATTCACACTACAGAGGATCATTGACACTACAGAGGATCATTCGCACGACAGAGGATCTTTCACACGACAGAGGATCATTCGCACGACAGAGGATCATTCACACTACAGAGGATCATTCACACGACAGAGGATCATTCACACCACAGAGATCCATTCAGACCACAGAGGATCATTCACACTACAGAGGATCATTCAGACCACAGAGGATCATTCACACTACAGAGGATCATTCGCACAACAGAGGATCATTCAGACCACAGAGGATCATTCACGCTACAGAGATTCATTCACACCACAGAGGATCATTCATACTGCAGAGGATCATTCACACTACAGAGGATCATTCAGACCACAGAGGATCATTCACACTACAGAGGATCATTCACACGACAGAGGATCATTCGCACGACAGAGGATCATTCACACTACAGAGGATCATTCACACGACAGAGGATCATTCGCACGACAGAGGATCATTCACACTACAGAGGATCATTCACACGACAGAGGATCATTCACACCACAGAGGATCATTCACGCTACAGAGATTCATTCACACCACAGAGATCCATTCAGACCACAGAGGATCATTCACACCAGAGAGGATGATTCACACTACAGAGGATCATTCAATCACTTGTAACAGAATACATAATCACGAGGTACTTTACCTTCAATGTCAAATTACAGAACTATCCATCTACCCAAAGAGAATACTTGATACTATCAATAGATGCCAACATGATAGAAACACACGTTGTGACAAGGGAAATCCTACAAAACAAATATGTTGCCAGCGAAATCAATGACTATGTTGACAGACAGCTAGCCTACGTTATTAAATCTGTCAATACACTTAGCTGACAATGAATAGTTTTACCACTCAATAACATGCTTGTTTGTTACAATATCCAAATATGAATCAAGAACAATCTTTTTATTTTTTCTATTTTTAACTTTAAGAATAGAGACAGGTTGAATGGTTTAAACCACTTAAATAACTTGCATCAGAGCATTTCAGAATAATCATTTTATTCAATCTGAGTTGTTTCATTTTATGGTACGTAATTCTTTCGCCAGAATCCCAGATATCAGAAATTGAATACACTTACAGCTCATCTTAACAACTCATTTAGAATATCTTCACAAACATTTTCGTGTACAAGTCTTTACAAAAACTTTGCTGTTGGATTATTTCTTTAGGTTCACACTAAACTTTTCAAACAATCATCCAGGCCTACAATAAGCATCACATCTGTCTTCATCGATGACCATATTCATCACTGTCCAATGGTGAACTGTGACATAAGCCATAATTACCTGGCGATGCCTCCCCTTGTCGGACAAGAAATGTTCATTTGGCATAGCCTGGCGACAGCACCCATTCCTTTTAGGCATTTCTGAATACCATCTGAAAATAACAAAACCATCACATGACTAGAGGACCTAGACCAATCTCTGAAATAAACTTGGTAAATCATCTCAATTAAGAAATGATGAAAAGGAGCCCAAAGACTCTTCATTTCCTGATATTGCAGTAATCTAGACTTGCCCACTATTATGGACAGACATGAATAGAGGACCATGAAAGTCACACAGGTTTGAAACAGTGACTGTTCCAACTTGGAAATCTCTGCCTGCTGCCAAACATTTGTAGTGTAGATGGTCCCAAGCCATGACCATCTTACCCTGAACAATACGACAATGGGGAGCACAGGACCACACTGAAATTGCGTAGTCAGCAAAACACAAATTAATCTTGAGAAAAACTACATTGGATTAACAAGATTACCATGGCTGAAACTCAGTTCAAAAACAGACTATGCCAAGTCTAACCTTTACCTGCCTTAGACATGTGCCAGTCATGTTTTACTCAACAAAGAGCATGCCAAAACTGGTAGTTTTATTGCAATTCATCGGTACACAGGCGCATCGTCAGCAAACTTTGCACGATACGATACCCGATACATTTATTTTGGCAGCGATTCCCATTTATCCCTGTATCCATTGTCCATGATGAATAAGCAAGTACAAACTATTTTTTAAATTCCTTATAACTTTTTGGCCGTCCTACGGATACGAAACAATAACAAAACTGACCAGCTTTTCCTTGCCGACTGTCATAGTACAATACATAAACTGTTTGTTTCTTATCCTATTCTCATACAGAATGGTTGGCTTGATTCATTGTCATGTTTGATGGGAATTAGTCAGTTGTCCTTCTATGAAACTGTATTCCCAGTCTAATGACTGGGATTTCCTCATAAAATGTCATAGATACAGTATTGAGATACAAATCACATGGTGGCTTCTGTATTAAGATATGTATCACATCGTGTAACGCCTGTACTGCGACATCCCTACAAACTTGTCATATCTTGGATTTAAACCCCCAATATTCTTCTAATTAAAGTTGGATATGGTGTTGCGTGGTGCCGCAATCAATATTTACTGTGGTCAACAACATGAGAGAAATGAGCAAAGTTTGAACCTGAGAGTCTTGTTAATGTGAGTGAGTGAGTGAGTAGGCTTTTACCCCGCTTTTAGCAATATTCCAGCAATATCACGGAGGGGGACACCAGAAATGGGCTTCACACATTGAACCCATGTCGGGAATCGAACCTTGGTCTTCGGCGTGACGGGCGAACGCTTTAACCACTAGGCTACCCGGTGTAGACTAGGTCTTCAGCAACCCATGCTGTAAAAGGCAACTATGCTTGTCGTAAGAGGCGACTAACCAATGTCCTTGATGGTACAGAGTCTGACAACAGGCAGTAACAAATGTCCTTGATGGTACAGAGTCTGACAACAGGCAGTAACCAATGTCCTTGATGGTACAGAGTCTGACAACAGGTAGGAACAGATGTCCTTGATGGTACAGAGTCTGACAACAGGCAGTAACCAATGTCCATGATGGTACAGAGTCTGACAACAGGCAGTAACCAATGTCCTTGAAAGTACAGAGTCTGACAACAGACAGGAACATATGTCCTTGATGGTACAGAGTCTGACAACAGGCAGGAATAGATGTCCTTGATGGTACAGAGACTGAGAACAGGCAGGAACAGATGTCCATGATGGTACAGAGTCTGACAACAGGCAGTAACAAATGTCCTTGATGGTACAGAGTCTGACAACAGACAGGAACATATGTCCTTGATGGTACAGAGTCTGACAACAGGCAGGAATAGATGTCCTTGATGGTACAGAGACTGACAACAGGCAGTAACCAATGTCCTTGATGGTACAGAGTCTGACAACAGGTAGGAACAGATGTCCTTGATGGTACAGAGTCTGACAACAGGCAGTAACCAATGTCCTTGATGGTACAGAGTCTGACAACAGGCAGTAACCAATGTCCTTGATGGTACAGAGTCTGACAACAGGTAGGAACAGATGTCCTTGATGGTACAGAGTCTGACAACAGGCAGTAACCAATGTCCTTGATGGTACAGGGTCTGACAACAGGTAGGAAAACATGTCCTTGATGGTACAGAGTCTGACAACAGGCAGGAACAGATGTCCATGATGGTACAGAGTCTGACAACAGGCAGTAGCAAATGTCCTTGATGGTACAGAGTCTGACAACAGGTAGGAAAACATGTCCTTGATGGTACAGAGTCTGACAACAGGCAGGAATAGATGTCCTTGATGGTACAGAGACTGAGAACAGGCAGGAACAGATGTCCATGATGGTATAGAGTCTGAAAACAGGAAGGAGCAGATGTCCTTGATGGTACAGAGTCTGACAACAGGCAGGAACACATATCCTTGATGGTACAGAGTCTGACAACAGGCAGGAACAGATGTCCATGATGGTACAGAATCTGACAACAGGCAGGAACAGATGTCTATGATGGTACAGAGTCTGACAACAGACAGGAACAAATGTCCTTGATGGTACAGAGTCTGACAACAGGCAGGAACACATATCCTTGATGGTACATAGTCTGACAACAGGCAGGAACAGATGTCTATGATGGTACAGAGTCTGACAACAGACAGGAACAAATGTCCTTGATGGTACAGAGTCTGACAACAGACAGGAACACATATCCTTGATGGTACAGAGTCTGACAACAGGCAGGAACACATATCCATGATGGTACAGAGTCTGACAACAGGAAGGAACAGATATCTATGATGGTACAGAGTCTGACAACAGGCAGGAACACATATCCTTGATGGTACAGAGTCTGACAACAGGCAGGAACAGATGTCCTTGATGGTACAGAGTCTGACAACAGGCAGGAACACATATCCTTGATGGTACAGAGTCTGACAACAGGCAGGAACAAATGTCTATGATGGTACAGAGTCTGACAACAGACAGGAACAAATGTCCTTGATGGTACAGAGTCTGACAACAGACAGGAACACATATCCTTGATGGTACAGAGTCTGACAACAGGCAGGAACAGATGTTTTTGATGGTACAGAGCCTGACAACAGGCAGGAACAAATGTCCTTGATGGTACAGAGTCTGACAACAGGCAGGAACAGATGTCCTTGATGGTACAGAGTCTGACAACAGGCAGGAACACATATCCTTGATGGTACAGGTTACACACTTCCAAATGTTTTCCCATAGACTTCTGTAGTAACGTTAAACTTTTGTTAAAAATAACTAAGCATTCAACAGCTTTAACCTGTACGTGTGTGCACAGCTTGGCCTTAGAGTAGCAATAAAAACATAAAAAAATGACCAGCTTAGCCAGTTCCTTTTCCGAGTACAGGAAGCTAAACACACCACCCCCAGTTTCGCACCAAATGTCACCTACCTACTCATCATGTTGGAAAAGACAGTACTAAATATAGAAAAACATGGTCAGTTTTTATAACTGGATGGATGTACATTTGAAAGACATAAAAATCTTACAGAAAATCCTCCAATCACAGCCTGCAGATATCTCTCGATCTGCACTGAAGGCTCCCTACGAAAACCGCACTGTCCCAACTGGTTCTGATTTGGTGTAGTAGAACCTGTAGACAAATCAGAATACATTTGCACTTGTCAAATCTGTGATTTATGTATTGTATATATATGTAGCTTCTCAGAAAAAAAAAGTGGAAATTGGATTAAACTCTACCACTTGTTCCTATCCAGCATGTCTATATGGCACCAGAATACATAGTTTTGATGCACAGTAAGAGTTGTGAGAGTTTAAGGATGTACACTTCATCAATGTTTTACAAAAGGTATTTCTGTATTAATAAAGAAGTTTCTTCCTCCATGCACTGACCATGGGAGTTAATTCATATTTCATAAAAGAAAGGGGTCAAGGGTCAATTCTATAAATGATTCAGGCTGCATAGATCATATCACCCTAAAATATTTTTTCGACTAAAAAAATTGAACAAATCTTTAAACCTCAAAACCAGTAACAATACATATTTAAAATTGAGTAGTGGTCTGTTGTTTGCCTTCCTTTGCTGACATCATCAGAACATAGCAGAGTCTGCTACATTCATTGAATATGGTTTTGACACTGGTTTTTGATGCGATTGATATTGTTTGAGGTTGCTCGAACTTACACCAACCATTGTTTATATAGTTAAACACTCAAATGGCTGTCAGCATTTGGTAAATCATCTATGGAGGGGCTATCACAAATGTTTGTGATTTCATTTACTCCAAAAATCAAAAGTACAATCACCTACGATATAGGCTGGTGACATAAGTACACATGGAAAGGAATCAGAAAAAAAATCTCAAACTTGGACAGAGAGCATGGAATTCAGGCCAACAATAAGCAAGGGACACATTAAGCAGCTTTAAAGTCATCATATATGTAAGGCTGGATAATGAACTTTACCAGAAAGTAGGAAGTAAAGGGGTGCATTGTTGCCAGCAATCTCAAAGGCTGACCAGTGAACCACACGGCCTATTAAAGCCAAGAAATGGAAATGGACGCTCAAGTAGAAGAAAGCTCTTTGAAACCACAACATGGAAGGAAATTACACTTAACTCTATTGATTTATTTAGTTAAGACTTTAAAATACTCACAGGAAATCAAACATACTTACTGTTTAATGTTTCAAGGTGGCTAAACTTGCTAATTTCAGTTATTTGCCAGTTTCAATGAAACAAAGTTAAAAGTCCATATAATTTTGAAAAAGTACAGCTTACCCTGACATAAATGTAATTCTTTTTATTCACAATTAACAGTGTCATGCAATACCAGCTTAAAATAGTGTTTCTCTCCAATAATTTATGGGTTTATAGGGGAATGAAAGATACAATGCATTTTACTAAACAGGGGAGATAATTTAGTATTGTCGAACACTATCACATTCTTTACAGATGATTTCAGAACCATAATGTTACATTCCAAAAGAGCCAGTGGATATTATTTTCATCTAAGCAGGTTCTGGGACTGGTGTATAGCCCTTACTCTATGCACAGTGAGG